TTCTAGCCAACAGAACCTATCAAAAACTAATAGAACATCATGACAAGTGGAACTAATACCAAGCATGCAAGGATGACGCAACAATAGAGAAACAATCGATGTAACAACCCACCATGTAAACAGCCAGGGGGACGAACCACATGATCTTGCCAGGCTACTTAGAAAAGGCCTCTGCCAAAATCCAGCACTCTTTCCTGATCAAAATGATTTACGAAACTCGGACGAAAAGGGAAATGCTTCACATAAAGGCACACGCAAGGAGGCCTCAAAAAGTTTGGGGAAAATGACCACTATCTATTGGATTTTCCCAGAACTTCGAAGCCCCTCTTACCCTATTAGCCCCTCTGGTTTAATGCACACCATGTGCATGGCGACACTTCACAATGGCACAACATTAGAAACAACCAAAATGCCTATCAATGGAAGAATAGATAAACTATGGGACCTGCATACGATGGAATACAAAACAGTGCCAAAGAATCAAGTGTTTACTGTTAAAGAATAAACACTTCTAAACATCATGCTGAACCAGAGTAATCACAAAAAGACCCACATTGCATGGGACATTATAAAAACTGAGGACGGTTTTCACACTAAAAGAAGCCTTTGCTGGTTACCTGGGAACAGAAGGAAGTGTAAACTACTAGAGAGTAAACATATTAACTTGAGTAAGAGAGACAATAAAAGAGTATCAGCAAAAAAAGGTAGACATGAGGAATGTAAAAGTTAAAGACAATAGAGGCCAATATTTATATAAACTATTATATAAACACTTCTGCAGTGAATGGTAATAAGTCTATGAATACATACACAAAAATACAAGTGGAACAGGTGTGAAATAGGAATATATCCATAAATATATGTACGTTTGACAGTTCATTTCTACATATGTTATTTACAAATGGGACAAATGTATCCATGAAAATGGTGGAGCATATAAGGAACAAAGTTAAGACCTCAGTCTCGGGACACCAGGGTCAACTGGCCCAACAGTTTACAGTGTTCTACATTTCACTTTAGTGACTAGAAGCTAGGGTCTTAAAAGCTCATGAGCAGCCACCGCAAGGTCCAAGTAGTAGTCTCCCCAGCCAGAGCAGAAAAAAGCATGTACTTAGTCTAGTGGACTAATGGACCATGTGAGCATCAGCCCACCCCCACCCCTGCCCACCCTGAGACCAGAAGTAGAAAGTACCACCAACTCCTCTGGTATGGGTGGCATTCCAAGGTCATGAGAAAAGTGTGAAATCTCAAAATCATTAAAAAGGGAAACGTTTGTGAGGGTTAGGAAAAAGAAAAAAGACCTGCCTTACCGAGCTAGAACTCGTAGACTATGGCCCTTCCTCATTCTTCAGGTCTAGACCTGAACTCACCCCTGAGGCTCAATCTTCAGCCGAACAGTACACAAGGTTCTAATGGGAACAGTAACGCGAGTAATGTGTGCACTCCT